ATCGGTGTCGACAGTACGATATACTGACGTGCTCTGGCATAAGAACTAAGTGAACAACCAACATTCCAAATCGATGGTGGTTGGTTGGCGTGAATACATACCTGTAGTGACTTTGATCCATCTTCGCACATGTTGCCACCAACTATTCTTTTTCTCCTCCTTTTGAAAGTCTATCTGCCGTGCTTCTGCAAGCATAAACACACCAGCAACCAGTGCCTTATCACCACCTGCTGAACATTGAACGCTATCTTGCTTAGATTTTAGTGCCGCCTTGCTCAGTGATGCATGTTTTTTTTAAAGGCACATTACTGAGGTGTGGTCCTGTGGCTTGTGTCTGGACTCCGCTGGAGGTATGTATCTACTGTCTACAAAGCAGTACATGCATCCATAGGGAAACATAAATTGTCAGAAATGTTGAAATACGGGGGGAGATTCAAAATTGTTCAAAAATCTAGCTCCGCACTCCAAATTCCGAAGGATTGGAGTAATACTATTTTAAAAGAACATCAATAAGAATTTGATATTACGGTCACGGGTATGCTCATAAAAAAAATATAGATTGAACGTAAAGGTGTATTCTGCGGTTCATATTTGTACGGTAGAAAAACACGTATTTGGCCCGTAGGAAGGCTACAGTCATACACATACCTTGAACGCAAACAACAAACCAGTTATATTCGTTTAATGTTTTGATCTGTGTTTCAGTTTTGTATTGTTGTCAAAAGTGAAAAGTCAAAACTGAGAACTGTGGACTTGTGGAGTGTTGACACTTGACAACTCACAATATGATACGTCACAAGAGAAGAGAACAAGATCTTTTATTCAATATCTATGGCAATATATTTCGAATTGACCAATGGTGTCAGCCGCCAGGTGTGGCGATGGACATTTGAGCCTTGGACGATTTACATTAATTTTTATTGTGATAATTTTTAAGCATTGCTATTTTTTTCCTTCAATATTTTTGTATTCTTGCGATGCCCTAAAGACATCCTAAGAGATTTTCACAGATTCTTTTTATAATTCTGGTTCCTCAAGTGAATACCAAGTCCCGCTATGTGCTTTGCATGCGGTGAAGTAATTCTCTTCATACGACTCAACATTATGACAATACAATCAATGCACTTTCTTTCAATATACAAGCAAATAACAATTAACAATTATTGAGTATAAAGTACACGTTTGTGTCACAATCGAAAGCATATATATATATAAATGTATATATATAAATATATACATACATATATATGTATGTTATATGTATGTATGTATGTATGTGTGTATGTATGCATGTATGTATGTATGTATGTATGTATTTATGTATGTATGTATATATGTATAAATGTATGTATGTATGTATGTAAGTATATATATAAATGTACAAGTATATATATTCACACACACACACACACATATATATATATATATATACAAGAGTACGTATATATATACGT